CCTTAATGCGAAACTTCTTTATCTGCTACTACATTGACTTGTAAATGGAGAGGTCGAAAGGTGAATATTACTATTATATCATTGCACATCTTATCAGATCATATCAGCAAACCACATACCAATGCTTCGAAACTAGCGAAAGGTCGATTCTCGAGAATATAATCGGCTACTTTCGGAGTCATTCTCGGCGCACTCATCAGTTTATCTCGATTCGCCGTGTTGAAGAATTCCACACATCGAGTATAGAGCTCAGCCATTGCGCCGATACGTTTCTTCGAACGATGCTCTCCAGCCTTGAAAGCGTGGAGAATCATTTCAAAAACAATCATCGGCCAGCCATGTTTCACCCCAAAATCAATCCTCTTCACATATTCTCCCAAATGACTCAATCAACCACCAACCCTGCTATCATCAGAATCTGTATCACTGTCGAAGTGAGCGTTCTCCTCCGAGTCAATCGCATCACTCTCGTCACTCGAGTTCGTGCCTTTCTTCGCTCGACTCTTTTTTGTCTTCTTCACCATTTGTTTCAGAGTTACCACCGGCTGAATAAAATAACTGTAAACTATCATTGCAACATACGAATATATTCGTGAAAATTGGTGTACTGGACGAAACCGAATGTTCAAAAAAGTTCCAACTAAAAAAGTCAAATCTCAAAATACTCATCGATACGATTACCTTCTCATCCTGACGACTACTGCTATCATCGATATCCTCTTCACTCGATGACGATGGAATGAACGCACGTTTCCGGCGTACCTGATGCGATTTGTTGGTGGATTTTACACCATTCAACCGTGGCTTACACAACCATTTCGGTTCAGATTTCGACGAATCTGAATCCGATAGAGTCCGTAGTCTAAAATCAGAAACACATGAAAGTGCTCGTTCACAATATTAAGTTTGCTCTGGACATCAGAATTCCCTTCAATTCATACAAATGTTCATTGAGAGCATACCTTCTTGTTTTATCATCGAAATTCACTTTTTCGATAATTCGTCCAAACATTCTTTCCTGCCTAACTAAACGTATCCACCTCTATTCAGGAATTCATCAACCTCTTCAAAGCTCAAAGACTGAATCAACTATTACTTAAGCCGTTATCTCAGAAGTTATAGAACTCGCTGATGTCAAAGAGAAATCATTTGCCTCTGTTCAAATGATGGTTCACTGGAAACTGATGGTAACGTAGAGGATGTCGGAACGGGTGCGGGGGGTAAGGGAGAGCGTTTGCTGCCATTTCTTTGCGGTTTCTCCTCATCATCTGACAATTTCAGTTCATCTTTTGAATCGTAGTCATCGCCGTTCAGAGCCAAGTCATCCTCATCTTCGTCATCTGATGAAATCTTCTTGCGACTATACGATGCCGTATTATGCTTTTTATGTGCTGAAAGCAAACGTGAATTTGAGTTAAGCACATACAATTAAGCAATATAATGTTTTCAATTGAAAAGTTGAATGTCACTCTATGAGATCGTATAATTCGGCAGAATAGCAATCAATCAATTACCTTTGACACCATTGAGGAAACGATTCTCTTTCTTTGTACTCTTATCAGTTTTCTTTGACGACATTTGATTGACCATCTGAAAACAAAACAATTTTTTGGTGATCAAAAATAAAATCCTCAGTTTGTAAACAATGAATTTTTGAAAAGTCAAAGAATAAAGTCTTCAAAAACAACTGAAGCAAAGACCCACTTTACTGAGCGACTGTCGTTTGAAGGCAAGTTCACGAATCAGATCCACCGACGAGGCGGTGGTTCGATGAGCAACACGACGTTTCTCATTACCGATTGCAAATGATCCGGCACTCATGTTTCGGACGCTAATTTTCTCCGAATAAAAATTTCCTCTCCCGTTCACTTCTGCCGGAAACCCTTCAAAAATTCGACACAGTCAATCGATGCGAATACATTAGAGCAGTGGTTCCAGCTCGATCTATTTCGCCGAATACACGTACAGATAGATGAACATTTCATTGAATTATTTTCAAAATATTCAGATGAATTTCAAAAAATGCTACGACTTCAAAACCATCAGAATTGGAACACTCCAAAACTGGCTTTTCACTAAACAAACAAAACAACAAACAAACAAAAAAATAAACAAATCATGCTGACAACCACAAAAAGTTGAAAACATAAGGAAATGGTGTGTGAACGTAATTGCCACATCGCACTGCTGCATGGCGATTCAAAACAAATTTCATCAAGTTACCTAGCAGCTCCGATCGTAAGAAATTGTTTCAGCAGTCCATGTTAAATAGTTTACATGACATTCAAGAAATGCATTTTACTTCTCAAGAATACCTGAGAAATTTCCTAA